GAGGCTGTGGATGCCCCATCCCTGCAGGCATTCAAGGCCAGGCTGGATGTGGCTCTGGGCAGCCTGGGCTGCTGGTTGGTGACCTGCACATAGCAGGGGGTTGGAACTGGATGAGCATTGTGTTCCTTTACAACCCAGGCCATTCTATGACTCTGTGATTTTATGATTCTATGATTAAAATATTCAGCACTTGGACAACTGGAAAAAAAGCAGTAAGTGTGCTTTTTTTCATTGTGAAGTGGAAGCAGGAAGGCAGAATAGGGAACAGGGTGCAGGAAAGCCCAGTGTGAGGTCTGGGGAGAGTCTGCTGGTGGTGACATGGGATGTCCAGGTCTCAGGCTGCTGATGCAGATCTGGGGAAGCACCTCTAAGAGTAAATTGCAATGCTGCCCTAAATATGCAGAGGTGAAAACACCTTTCTCAGAGCAAGCTCTAGAAGCAGGGTGTATTCCTGTCCCTTATCTGTGTTTGTTTCCTAAACTTATCTCACAGAAAAGCTGTACCAATAAGTTCATGGCATGAAGTCTATTCGATGAAACATGGACTGCTGAGATTGTCCTACGGACAAAGGAAGAATGCAGCTTCTCTGTCCTTGGAAATGGTCTTGGATGTGGAGAGAAAGAAGACTAGAACACCTAATGAGTGGCTGAGGGAGCAGAGGTGGGTCAGTCTGGAGATGAGGAGGCTCAGGGAAGACCTCATTGCTCTCTACAGCTCCCTGACAGGAGGTGGTGGTGAGGTGGGGGTTGGCCTCCGCTCCCAGGATAAGAGGTAATGGCCCCAAGTTGTGCCAGGGGATGTTCAGGCTGGATATTAGGAAACATTTCTTCTCTGAAGGAGCGGTGATGCACCGGCACACATTGTCCAGGGAGTGCAAGATCAATGTCCTTGGGGGTGTCTGAAATCCTTTGATATTTTCTGTATCAATATTTTCATTATATGAAGTCAAAACTAACAAGAAAACCATTGGTGCCATTTACAGACAGAGGCTTTGGAAGGCCCACACCTTAGTCAACAACTTCCATGCCACTCAACCCCTGCATTCCATCTGCACCGCTCAGAGCTGTGCAGGAACACAGCAGCAAAGGGAGCCTCAGCCCTACCACAAGTGTTTAAATGTAGTTGAAAACAACTGACTTGTCTACAAAAATAAATTCCTCTAGCTTGAGTAATTTCTCTTGCTAAATTCCTCTTCATTGCACTTCATTCTCTTCTGCATCCTTCCTAAAGTTGGACTGATGCACCGCATTTTCAGCAGTAATCAATTCATATTGCAGATTATTCTGCTGAGAAAGAGCAAGTGAGAATAGAGTGCAACAACCATGCACTGCTCAATGTGCCGCTGACTGTGTTACTATCACCACTTCAAACACAAGAGCATGGTGATCTCCTCCTCCTTCCCATGCAGGATTTGTACTTTAGGAGCTGTCTGGCAAAGGTCAGGAAGGAAACCAGGCCATAGAGATCTCTAGCTTTTTCAGAGTGTAATATGCAGGGTATGGGTATTGCTGATTCATCCTGAAGAGAAAGATTAGAGGTTGGCCAAGAACACAAGGTATCCACTAAGCATCCTACAAAGTCAGAGAATTCATACAATCTGCCCCTCCTAGAAGTTTGTTTTGTTTTGTTATTTAATTAATGTAATGCCTTTCAATATTTTCCATAATTGCACCTCCTTGTCTGCTACACCTCTGTTCCCCACAGATGTAACCCAACATGAAGAGCTGTGCTCAGACCCCACTGGAAGTACCTGCAGGACAGACAGACAGATGGGCAGGACGGTATCCCGTGCCTCATTTCATTAAGAGTAAGCCAAAAGATAATATATTAATATAATATTAAAATATATTAAATATACTAAATATAAAATTAAAATATAAAATATAAAAAATGCCTTGCTTGGACTTCCTAATGGAAATGAGGGTTGTGAAGAAAACTTCAGGACAGCTTATTTCCCTCTGGAGAAGAATGTTTCAAATATTTCATGAAAATAACACTAGAAATATTCCAATATGCATTTCAATTTGCCTTTTCAGCTCTCCCACTTCCTCCCCTAAAATTAATTGCCACAGATTTGAGTAGATACATTTGAACGGCTCTGAATCACATTTTTATATACATACGGATGTACAGCTACCGTAAATTTTCTGTAGCAAAACAAAAGAAAACACCATGCTTCAAAACACCTTTCTCTTTGCAGTAGGTTGACTTGTGTGATGACAGCAACACGATCTTGATAGAGTGAACGTCTGCAAATTGATTACCCGTCATGTGGAGCCTGGAGTGTGCTAACATACATACATTCCTCCTAAGTGGCTTTCATTCTAAGTATGTTGCTTTAGTAAATACGTTCTTTCCATTCATCTGTTCTTATTTATTTTCACTCTGTAGGCAGAAAAATGACCCTTCTCTCTCCTCTGATTGCCTCTTCCCATATAACAGCACCCTTTTGCCTTCATTCTGTGCCTAGCACCACTGCTTAAGAAGCACAGCCCTTGTCTTGTCCAGGTGACACAGCGCAGAGACAGTGGCCCCTTGGTGCTGTGTTCCTTGGTGCTGAGGGCACTGACCAAGCACAGCCACCAAGCAGTGTGCACACTTCTGCTGCTCCTCCTTGAACACCAGCGAGGAACTGGTCACTGACAACTCCTGGGGCTCCAATCCAATGGCCACAGAGGTACTTGGTGAGTGCATCTAAGACCTGCTGCTCGTGTGCTTTTATAG